TGGCCCCCACTAGTTGTCTTGAACGTATCAGGGCTAATTTCATTTTGTCTTTTGTACCATTTCATGGCAGTTCCTACAAACCTCTCCCCCAGACCCCCAGGCCACAGCTGGTTTCCTGCACTGCAAGCCCCAAAGTCTCTGCATAACCCTTAGTCTGTACCTATCTTTCGCCCTTCCCCAACTCCTGAAATCCTGCCACTGTGCCCCTGACATAGTGACAGTGCTTAAAACACAATGATAATGATGCCATCACCAGCAAATGTTCCTGTAAATAAACATTCAACCTATTCTCGGACTGGCTTTCTGCTGAGGACACAGCTTCCCTGCAGCGTTGTAGAGTGCTGGTGGCTTTTTCTCCCACTTCCCTCCTGTCGCTGGGTTTGGAGGTGGGGGAGATAACCTTCTGCTGCTTTCAGATGTTCTCTCCCCTCCCCCCTATAAGCCCCTGGCTTCAAATTTCACATTATCAGATTATACCAGCTATTCGCAAATTTTCTGTACATTTGAAATTACATAAAAATAAAAACTACCAAAAAATACCCAACCCCCTAAAGCAGGTCTGGGCAGAGACCAAGGGGCTACTGAAGCCACCTCTGGCCTGTCACCTGACCCTCTTGGGCACATGAAGGTAACCCTACTGCTTCAGGTTCAGGAGAAGCCACCAAACCTGTGTGAGTGGTTTCCTCGGGGGAGCAGAGGTGAAACAGCAACATCACAACGGTGCTCAGCGCTTTCGTACATTATCTCATTCATTTTCCCAATGAGCCCGCTGAAGTTTCTATGATTTCCATTCTGCAGATGAGGAATCCAAGGCTCTGAGGGGTTGAGGAACTTGCTTGACACACAGCTAATGAGTGGGGGGCTCAGACTCCAACACGGGTCAGACCAACATGGGAAGCCCATCCCTGCTTTGACTCAGATGTCCTGAGAGCCCTCAGCAATGACAGAGATCTATGTGTGGGGCCCTCCCGGCTGCTCCGGTCCAAGCTCACAGCCCTCTCCTCTGGTTGCCCACCAAAGCCCCACCTGGATATGGTGACGAGACAGGCGAAAAATCTCCTGCGCCATCAGCAAGGTCTTTGAATCCATCACCAGGTACAGCAGGTGTAGGAGGGCAAGGAAACCCGCGCCTCTCAGGTCTGTGCCTGGATTCGCTCCTGGACAGAAACCATGGGGAAATGGGGTGTGACGGTGAGCAAGGCTTAATGAAGTCCCTGCTCCCTTGAGCTTCAAGGACTTGGTCTGGAACGCTGCCTCTGACACTAGCCTTTTCTTGGGTCCACTTCCTGCCACACTCCTGTGACTGGCTCTAAAGGGCTGAGTAGGGGACATGGACCAGGATTCCAGCACCCTGGGGGCAGCCTCCTGCATCAGTTTTCTCACTGTGGCCCATGACCATGACCCTCTATAGTCGCTTCTCCACACAACAATCAGAGTGATCCTTACAAAAAAGGCCAGACTCCTGGTTCCAGGACAAGATGAAGTAATACGTTTCTCCCTCTTCCTCCCATGTGTACAGCTAAAAGCCTCAGACACTAACATATAAAGCAAACACAAAAAGACTCGGAAAGGTGGAGAGAAGACAGACTGGCTAGGGACCTTGAGAGGTGAGAAACGACACTGTGGTGAGTGTCCTGGCTTTGTGTTTGCCTCACATATCCCAATTGGGTGCTGGAGAAGACAGCAACCCAGAAGCGCCAGTGGGAGCAGATCCAAAAGGCCCTGAGCCAAGGCCAGGAAATG